TCCCGACTTTGAGCACCAGGAATGTCAGGGTGTGAGCGTTCAATGTCAAATGGTTGAGAGTTATCTTTGAACATATATTGTCTTGTACTTACCTCAGATTAATATAAAAAAATTAAATTGATAACAATTTTGTCATTGCTTTTGAAAAGTGACTTTTAAAAGTGCTATAGAAACAAATTTTTAAAAATTGTTGTTCAAGAGTGCAATTTAAAATTTAATTGTTAGGGATTACTGTTAAAAAGTAAGTTTGAAAAGATAAAAATACCCATTATAGACATTATTTTGTAAATTAAAAATATAACATTTAAATTATATTTACACTTATATATGAATTATATCAATTTCAACTATAATGAATTCCAAAAAATATTATTATATATGAATCATATCAATTTAAACTATAATAAAGATATAAAAACTACAATTAAAAAATAAAAATATATTTTATATAAATCACTATTAATATTTTAATATATAAATACCAAATTTTATTTATTTTAAAATAATTAAAATAAATAATTAAAAGTAATAAATTATTTTTTAAGGATGTTTATTAAATTATTAAAATAAAATGTAAATATATAATTGAGTGAAGCCTATGCATTAATAATAGTAAAAACTATAAATCTGCTTCTAAATACAAAGTTGGAATAAAAAGGCTAGAAATTCTAGCTTTTGCGGTTGGCTTGAAACCACCGTTTCCACCGCATTTTTTCTTTAATTTTTACTCGTTTGACATTAGTTTTACGGTCAATAAATTTGACAATTAAAAAGATTTAATTCGTAGAATTAATTACGAATTGATTAGAATTTAAAATATCAAAAGTATAGGGGTTAAAGGGAGAATTAGACCTTAATAATATTAATAATTAGCTTATTATATCATTTGCGTGATAACATAGACTTGTACAAATAAACATCCAAACCATTAAAAATTGAGTTCAAGAATGAACATGTAACATAAACAACTAAATTAGCCATAATTTGCTGCCACTTGATACATGAAATGACAGTAATTGGAGTAACAAGAGAAAGCCAGCTGCTTCAAGAAACAGAGGAGGTGGAATCAACTTATCACTAGCATTCTCGGTCACTCTTAATAATTTTATGAATAAACAACGTATTTAGTACATAAATTATCAGTTTTAGACTATTTTAATGCCTAAACTATAATTATCATTCTTCAGCATATTCCTCGACCACTCAAGATATCGACTAACTCACCTCATTGGCTCCTAGCACACCATCGATTAGATTTTACCTATATCACTTTAAAACTCGTAAAACTCTACCACAAACTCAAAACTCATGAAACACTAAATCACTCTAATTTATAACATCCATCATCTAATCAGTATGATATCAATATATACAACTCGCTTCCTCCTTCATTTCATCACCATTGAAATTTGGAAGAAGATGTTTCATTATCAAGAAATAAAGAAATCGGTAAGTTTTGAAGTCATTTCATAATCTAAAAAGAAAAATGTCCATTCATGTAGTGATAGGACTCGTAACGGGTCAGATTAGGGTCAGGTTTTTGGTCAACCTGACCTGATCCAAAAATATGTATCCTCCAACTGAATCCAACTCGACCCAAAAATTACATATCCTCCATCCGATCTGACCCTACCAAAAATATATATATCCTCCACCCAACCCGAAATTTTAGAGTATAAATCTGACCCGACCTGACCCGATCCGATATAAAATAAGAATTTAATTAAAATAATATTATTATTTTAAAGAAATTACATTATTATTCCCGGGTTGAATTGAGTTGGAGTTGTTTCACCCTCCACCCGAACCCGACTTGAACTGACCTCACCCCTTATTATTTGGATCAGGTCGGGTCGAAAACCCGTCGTTTTCGGGTTAAATTGTCATCCCTACGTAGTGACAAAAATAGGAATAAATTAAAAGTTAAGCAACTAAATTAAAAAAATTTAGACTTTAATGACCAAAATAAGTGAAATAAAAGTTGAGTGATGGAATTTATAATTTGCCCCTGCTAATCTCACTTCATGCAAAAGACCATAGGAGCTTTTGACTTAATTAGCCCTAAAATTGATAAAGATTTGACACTTGAAAAGGTTTTAGGTCAACATATACCTTCTTCTACACATACGTGGCTAAACAATTCTCCGTTGCTTCACTCAAATTATAACATAGTTAAAGTTAGTTGAACTTCAAAACCAACTCCTTTACCTATAAATCCATACTCCCATCCTCTTTCCCTTTCGATCATCAAACTCCATTTCCATCATCGAAATTCCCTTTGTAATGGAGCTCCGCAAGACACGTTCTCGGCTTGTCCCGGTTCTGGTCGTGGCTTGGACAGCATTGTTGTTGGTGCCCGTTTGTGCGCAGAGTATCACCACGCCGTGCAATCCGTCGGTGCTCGGCACCGGCTTCGCTCCCTGTATGAACTTGCTTACCAATAGCAGTGCCAATGGTTCCTCGCCGACGGCCGATTGTTGTGATTCTCTTAAGAATCTTACTTCCGGTGGCCTGGACTGTTTGTGCCTCCTTCTCACCGGAAGTGTTCCGTTCAGTTTGCCGATCAATAGAACTCTGGCTATTTCTCTTCCTCGAGCTTGTAACATGCCCGGCGTTCCTGTTCAGTGCAGAGGTGAGATATATACATCGAAAACTTGCATTTTACATTGTTTTTGTGACACTCTAACTCCATAATATATACGTAGATACACGAGTTAATACATGTGACAGGGATACTCGAAACAAGTTGGTCTGGTGGAGTGGGATATAAAATATATAATTTCAGGGTCAGATCGGTTTTGGGTGGAAGATTCATATTTTCGAGTCTGGTTCTAACTCGATCCGTTACCATCCATAATCATCCATTCTGAACTCGATTTTTTTTAAAAAAAAAATTGATCTTATAAGATTAATCAAATTAAAACTCGTCGGAATTGAGTATTTTGACCATCCTATTTATGAGATGTCTTTTACAAAATTACAGTCAATAGCTTGAGGATTGAGTACTGTTTTATCTATTTTGACCAATGGAAGTACTCATTTGAGAATTTTCTTGTTTTGCAGCCCCTGCTGGTGTACCTGTGCCTGCCCCAGGTATGGTTAGAGTAACATATCTTGTGAAGATCAAATTATGATTTTTTGGTCTCTTAGTATGGCCAAATTTTGGATTTAATCCTTATACTTTAATTTAACACAAATATATCCTTCTTTTTTGCTAACCTTTAATTTATCCTCCTATTTTTAAAATATCATTACTGAGTATAAATACTAATACTCCAAATTATTTCGATTAAAATGCTGATTAGAAATTTTTTTTTCTTCTCTTTAAGCCATACACATCTAACTCATCATGTTGACATGGATTATGGATACAAGTAGATGTCAAATTAAAATATAAGATTAAATCACATACCTGAGTATAATAGAGGGAGCAGAGCCAAAATTTGACCTTTTGGAAAGAACTTTGAGTTTCCATACTGGCTAATTAGTTAAAAATTATTCATTGGCAGGTCCAAGCTCACTTGCACCCACGCTTTCTCCAGGAGCTGCACCAACTTTGGCCCCAACAGGTTCCATTGTCCCGGAACCAACCGGATCCGCCCGATCACCGGAGTCCGACACCACGCCGACTTTAACTCCACCATCCTCAACTGCCGGTTCCGGAGCCCCGACGGCCACGACAGGGAGCCGCCCTGTACTTGACCCCCAATCATCAGCTGCCGGTCGTTCTTACAGTTTTTCACCATCACTTGTGCTCTTCATATCAGGATTTGTTGTCTTGGAGTACTACTAGAAGCCGATATCTCAATTTATATGTGTTTATTTATGGTTTGTTTGAGCAGTATATTCTTTTAGTGGTGTGAGACCATTATTTTTAGAGCATATTTCGGGTGATTGTTTCTAAATAAACTGATATTTTAATGTATTTATTTGTAAATAAAAGAAACTTGGTTGATTTTATAATTGATTTTCTTAATTCCTTTGGTTAATTCGATGTTCCAAACATGTATATTCCTTTAGGATGCGTTTGGTTCACGGAATGTAAGATTACCAGCGGGAATAGGATTACCGGCGGTAATAAGATTACTGAGAATGTTGTATTTTGTGTTTGGTTCGTTTAGCAGGAATGTAAAATTACAGTGTTTTGTTAAAGAAATAAAAGATTATTGGAATGCATATTTTACCAAATTGTCCTTATTATATATCTGTTTTTTTAACAAGTTGAATTCTACTATAATTAATTTATATATTTTCTTTAAAAATTGTAAATTCATAAAATTTATATATTTTTTTACAAAATTAAAAAGATAAATAGGTTTAATGAAAGGGTAAAATTTTATTTTAACCCTAAACTTCATATAAAATTCTAATTATGGATTTTTTTGTAAATATAAAATAGTTTACGGGTAAATTTGTAATTTAATATTCATAGAATTTGTTTTATTCATCGACAGAATAAGGATAGTTTTGGGGGAAAAAATTATGGGCATTTTAATCAAAAACACCGGTAATCCAATAATACCTAAGAGAATGGGGTATTCACATTCCCGGTAATATACCCCCAAAATACCATTGTTGGTAATAAATGATGACAGGTGAATAAAATTACTGACCAACCAAACGGGAGAATGACATTCCATTCTCCCGGTAATCGAATATGACGTGAACCAAACACGCCCTAATTTAAATAGAAAATCAAGGCCTATGATTCAAATAGATTAGAGAAGAAAATAAGCAAGAAAATTGGAATTTAAATTTCTTTTTCAAATAATAACTTTAATTTATGAATTTATTATGAAAAAAATATTATCTTTTTAAAAATTTTAAATTCAAATAATTACACTTATGAATTATACATAAATTATCAATAATTAAAAAGTATTCTAATCATACAATAGATTTTGAGTAAAATAGATTATTCAATTTTTTGCTAAAACATATAAACATATTAAATATCATGTCTAAAGATTATATTTTCTTAAAAAAATATATAGGATTTTGAACTGCCTCCAGAATTTCCCGTCCGTCCTCTCCGCTCTGTGCCACTTCTCTCCTTCCACTTCCTGTTCCTCTTTTCTTTCGCCTCTGATCATCAACACCCGGTTCTCTTCCACCTCGATCGTCACATCTTCCTTCTTCATCCCCGGGATGTCGGCAGCGATGACGTGGAACCGCGGTGTTTCTTTCCAGTCGGCACGGGCCAATGCCACCGGCTCGGTGGTCTTGGGGACGGCGAGTGGTGTGTTTTCGAGGATTCTAAACGGGTCTTCGGGGATCATCATGTCCCATAGTGACCTTGGGTAGGGCACTAAGACATTCACTTGGCTTGCCATGGTGGTTGCTGCCATTAGGAAAATGAAGGCTCTGGTGAGGTTTTTGAGGGAATTTCTGGTTATGGGAGTTCAGCAATGAAACGAAATTGTTAAGTTGTTGAGGATAATTGAATTTTTTTATATTTATTTGAAATTTGTAATAAAATAATATGTTTTTACTATTAAATTATAAATTTAAAATGTTAAGACATTCCATGAAATTATATTTTATAATGACGAAACTATTATGAAAATAAATGAATAAAAATATAAAATATGATACAACTATATGAATTTAGGAAAATTCTATGACGCTCGACGAACGTATATAAGTACTATTAATTATGAATATCATTAATTTAATTTATAAAAATTTAAAATTTTAAAGGGATTAACGTATAATTATAATTAATTGAAAATTTAAAGGTAAATTATTTAAAATAAAATGTAAACTATACCAGTGACCACCTAATTACTACTTCTTTTTATTTTGATCACCATTTTTGATATTTTGTTAATTAGGTCATTCAACTATTTAAAGGCATTCAATTAAGTCACTCGTCGTTAATATTTAACAGAAAAGCTAATGTAACAGTTAAAATATTTGATATAATGACACATTTGGTTCATGTTACTTATATTTTATCAATTTGTTCTTAATTTTAATAAATTAAAATAAACTTAACGCTCAAATCAAATGGTGCCAAAGTAGTCTTCATTCATCTTATTCTTTCAATTTGTAGGAAAACAAACAAGAAAGAATAAAATAAAACTTACAAAAAATTGATTTCATTTTTGAGAAATTAAAAAAAATTAAATATCAAAAGCTTTGATTTTAAAAAACATCTATATTAAGTAAAATCAAATTTAAACTCTTAAAAATTAATCCAAAACAATTAGATTTTACTTATAATGTGACGAATTAGGTAAAAATAAAATTATAATACTTGGATAACTGACTAATAAAAAATAAATATTTTTAAACAAATGGTCTAAAAATTATTACAAAATAAAATAAAACATCTAATTTAAACTCCTAAAATCATTGAAAGATATAATTTAAACACATGAATTTGTCACACTAATTGTCTTACATGTATTAATGTAAAATATATTATTTTACTTTATTATTAGAAATAATAAAAACTGATAAAAAGAAAAGAAAATTTGTACTGGCATCCATTAAATTGGATTCTTTTTTAATTAACTACTTTGGTATATTTGATTTATTAAAATTATGACCAAATTGATAGAATATACAAGTAACAATGATCAAATGTGTAATTATATCAAATATTTAATTTCCACATCAGTTTTTCTGTTAAATATTAACGATAATTGTTTCAGTTGAATGTATTTAAATAGTTGAGTGACATGATTGAAAAAATTTAAAAAATGATAGTTAAAATAAAAAAGGAATAATAGTTAGGTGGTCACTGGTATAATTTACCTTTTGTTTTAAATAATTTACTTTTAAATTTTAATTTAATTTATAATTATACATTGAGTATTTTCGAAATTTAAATTTTTATAAATCAAATTAATAGTGCTCATCATTAGTAGTGCTAATCAGTACTCGTCGAGTGTTGTAAAACCATCAATAAATTTATTGAAACTTATATTAAACTAATTATTAAAATTAAGGTAAAGTACATAAATAGCCCCTAACTATAGGGTGTTATTTATTGAGTTCTCTTACTATTAAAAGTTATAAAATGATCCCGACTATAAGACATTGCTTTTTTAAGTCTCTTGACTATTAAAAGTTATAAAATGATCATCCGACTATTCATTGTGTTCCAAAATCGTAATTTTTTCGTTAAAAAAATAATAATAATTTGAGTTAAACATTAACCTACTAAATACTATATGATATAATCTAATATCATAATCTTAAACGGTTATCATATCCTAGTAAGTAAATTAACGTCCAACTCAAACTACTATCAATTTTTAACGAAAAAAGACAAATTTGAAACACAATGAATAGTTAGGTGATCATTTTGTAACTTTTAATAGCCGAGAACTAAAAGAAACAACGTCCTATAATTAAGAGACCATTTTATAATTTTTAATAGTTAAAAGACTCAATAAAACAATACTCTATAGTCGGGACCATTTGTATACTTCACCCTAAAATTAATATAAAAAAACCGATAATCGAAGCAAACCAAATTAAAAACAAACAATTCAAAATGTTATAGAAACTTGACCATACCGATATTAACCAATAAGGATTCTATTAGCAATGCATCATTAAATTTAGATGGACACACACAAGAACTCAATGATCTTCCCTGTACCTGGAGGCACACAAATGTTTCCATTCCAAGATAAAAAAAATGTATTATCAAATTTCCAAATCCTTTTCCACTTCGGAACATAATCAAGCCAATTAAACATTGCTTTTAATACTAGTTCTTGCTGTGCCGAGACACATTGTTCCCTATCGGTAAATGCAAATCAAGCATCCAGAACAGAGGAGCAAGTCCACCATAAGTATCTTCAGGCTGAAGCAACCGCAGCATCCTTGACAGATTCACGCCAGGCGTACTCTCTGGCTCCATCTTTGTCGACGATCTTGATGACGAAGTTTGGTGGTGCCACAACCAGTCTTGATCTGATCTCCATTATGCATTTATCGACTAAATCAATCGCTTCTTCCACTGTCATGCCACTGTGGTAGTGCCTGTCCATCATGGAGAGAGAGAAGTAGGACCCATAGCCAAATGCTCCCTTATCAACCTTATGAAGTGTAGCGATGTAGTCGATATAGTACAGAGACGGGCCTGTCTCTTTGTCATAGCCAGCAAGAAGGATGTTCACAGAATATGGATTCTGTGAAAAAAAGGCCGTTGTTAGGAATAGGAGAAACAAGTGCGAAAGAGACCAAATTTAGCATTCTCATGGGCTCATGGCACATTGTAGAGAATTAAAGTTTCTTTCTTGTACATGGATGAATACTTAAGGTGTGATTGAAGGCACTTGAAAGCAACAAGAGTACAACTGAAGATCAAAATTTTAAGTGACAGTTATTGGAATGAGTTTATTACAGTAAAAGGATATGATATACCCACAGCAATGCTCAGGACTAAAATTCTACACATTAGTTCAATTTGGTTGAACAAAGGATTTATACTTGATGCAGTATACTGTTAATGAAAAAGATAATGACACATCATTAAACAAAGTTATCTACAATGTTGTCAAGGGTGCTAGGTGCACTCAAGACACCAAGACACCTCAATATATTCTGAAGCGTCGCTCTCCCGAGTAAAATGGCAAGTATAGATTAAGGTAAAACAGTATAGTTTAAACCTTAAACTGTTAGAGAATTCAAGAACAAAAGACTAGTAAAATAAGTTAAGTCCACATGGGACCTTCTTTTGAATAGTCTTTTTCTGCTTTTCCCAGTTTACTTTATCCCTCTTCTGAGTCTTTTCATTGTCTTTTTGTCTCAAAATATTACACTCTTCTCTCTGAGAAAGCTAAAAAGCAGCAGCTTCTTTTTTTCTCCAGTTTTCAACTTTATTTTTTGGGCTGTCGAGCAATTTCTTCCCTTCTCTTTGTTCATGCACAAAGGAAGGGTCAGCTTCAATGAGGCGAGCTTTTTTCTCGCCTTGATTTGAAACCCAAGGCACGCTGAAGCAGCAAAAGGCAAGCACCTTGACAAACATTGGTGATCTATATTCATTTTTGAAAACTTCTAATGAGATGACATAATTTGACACATTCACAGTGCATGTATATCAACCATAGATGCATCACTTATGAACTCTAAAAGTAAACATATTTCAGAACTAGATGTGCAATATTCCACGACCACAGAGACAAATAAGTGCACTGAACTCCAGTACACAGCAGCTGACCAGAAAAAGAAGAAACAGAGGCACCAAAATGATGAAATGTTTCAAGTCATCAGTGGAACTTCAAAAGGATAATATATTTTCGTGGTATACTTCAAAATTCCAGGACAGTTCAAATCTGATATTCCACTCAAACAACAAGGACCAATGCCATAACGCTTCAAAAGGTTCTCTATCATAAACTACATCCAACTTAATTGAAGAGAGGTAAGATAAGGTCATTGATTCATGCAATAAAAGAATCAACTCTACTTTGAATCATACATCAACCTTACATAGTATTACAACTCTCTAGTTCAACAGAATCTAGGTAAAAAATAACGCAGGAGATCCTAGCCTTGTTTAGAACAATGTAATTGAAGCAAACGTTGTACCAAATTCCAATGCTCACTCTTCATAGATACCACGTTTAATTACTTTGTTTCCACTAAAAGAATACATTTACTAGAATCTCATTCAAGAACGTATGGAATAGGAAACCTCAAGATCTTACCAGTCTAGTAAGTCACACAAATACCCAATACTTCCAAAGAAAACAGCTAAATAACCAAATAAAACCCGAGGCAAGTGAATCCATAACCAGCAACCTCAAGCATCATAAACAAATGCAGTGGTCAAAATTAGTTTCCTTCGGTGAGCAAATGAGGTTTCCAAGCATGTTCAGAATTCTATTTAGGTTAGCTAAGAACTTCATTTACATCACCCGCAGAAAGTAGCAACTATTACCAAGGGATCTCCAAAACTTTGGCCATAAATAGATATTCAGCTCTAAGTATAAAGCATGACAATTAGAACTTAGCAGTCATTAACAACGCTGCATCTCAAGTCCAATTTGTTATTCCGTAGACGGGCAAAGAAGCATGGTAAAGCGCTTTATTGTACAGGGTGATTGCTACAGTTCTAGAAGCAGAAAATCTCCAACTCACCAAACCCTCTCTACAATTTCTACCGAAATTTCAAAAAAACAAAGGTCACCAAAAGTTCAAATTAGTTACAAATCAAAACCTATCAAAACCCTAATAACAAGTAAGCAGATTTAATACCTTCCTTAAGGCAGTGGCAAGCTCACCGCGAGTGAAATTGGCGGCTGCCGCAGTCGTCAAAGGAATACCGTTTCGGAACTGGTACAAAGCCACGTTTTTCTGTATGTACTCCGTGAACTGCACTCTGTTAAGGAGAAAACGAATGTTACATTACTACCTAGATTTACACGGAGTAATACAAAAAAGGAAAGAAAAACAAGAGGGGAAACCTGT